TTGTAATTCATCCATGTTTCCTGGTCTTAAGATTTCTTCAAATTACTACAATACCAATTATAAGTAAGGTAATTCAACAGTTTCAATGTATAATTTAATTACGTTAGTATATCCGTTAATCAGTCCAACTGGTTTCCACCCATTCCCAAGCCTTTGGGATTCCCATTCCCATCTCACACAACTAATAGCCATCCACATCCTAACCCATGTATTCGTCTTAAAATTCCTTCACAGATCCCTGCAGATCTGTTAACAACAAGATATCCTTGCGAATATCTCACATTTTTATAATGCCATATCATTGAAAGTAAGCTCAGCTTATGATATTTTTGAGATTAAATATCACACAATAAAATTCGATTGGGAAGTAAAGCAATGCGCTTCATTAGTGCATCATGTGATGTGCATCAAATGGTGCAAATTATTTTATAATTTTTTATATCTATTGTACTTATTTTAATAAAAATTAAGAAAACTGGGTTTTTAAGATGATTGCTCAATTTCAAATTAAATAGGAAATAATGTCAATATAAATTACAACAGATCACAACTATCTATATCTTAAATATATTACGTTAACTGAAGTAATGTTCTTGTTTTGCTACTTATTTTTGTAGACTGGAAACAACAAAACTTTTACTAGAACATGGTGCCAATCCATATGCCAAAAGTCGCTACGGTGACGATGCATTGAGAACAGCATGCTTAAAAGGCGCTCATCAAATCTTTGACTATTTAAAAACTCATTTAACTTATTCCGCTGAACGACTTGCTGAATCTCACGAATTAATTGGTATAATTTTATATTTTATATTTTTGGATGTAGAAAATTATATTAACACTTATTAATTGATAGGTTCGACATTTTTAGACGAACACAATGAAAGTCGTGTCGCAATCTTGCATTGGCGTTTAGCACATCATATACGTGCGTCACATTCTCCCTACATAGGTAATGGAGTTTTTAAAGTTGAGACCAGTTTTTCATAATTTCATAATTTATTTAATGAATTTTTATTTTGCAGAAAAACGACCAAAAGTTCCCTTACGCCATGCTTACAACAATGCAGTTGAGTTCACAACGTTGGAAGAGCTTGATAACATACACGCTGATATGGATGCAATGCGTATACAAAGTTTATTGATTTGTGAACGCATACTTGGAACAGCTCATAAAGATATGCTATTCCGTTTAACTTTTCGTGGTGCATCCTATGCAGACTCACTGCAACTGCAGCGTTGTATCGATTTGTGGCGTTTACTATTGGAAATACGGGTTGAACATTCCTCTATATTGCATTTTGATACGTGCTTTGCTGCACAGGCGCTAGTACGCTTGATGCTTGATTTATACGATCGTGCAAGTCGAAATAATAACTCGAATAATCAACCAACATCTGCGCAAAGTAGGCGAAACAATGAACCGGATTTTATCGAAAAAGAATCATTGCCATTATTTAATGATATACATGCTGTGTTTAAGCTTTTAACTGGCCCAATAAATGAAGCGCATGATCTTTTACAAATTCGTCCAGTTTTCAGGAAGCAGCAAGAAAATTTTGATCGTATGCTAAAGTGTATAGCCCATTTGATATATTTGCTCAATTCTACAGCACGTACGGAGGAACAAAAGAAATTCCAATTTTGTGCTGTGCGTGATTTGGTGAAATTAAACGTTCGTAGTGCTTGTACAAGTGATACGTTACTGCATCTATGTGTATCTCGTTTAAATGTTATTAAAAGCGGTTACTTAAGTGATGAAAACAATGCATCGGTAAAGAATTAATTTTCTTAAATAATATATATAAATATTGAATTGGATTTAAAAATATATTTTCTAATTGCAGATTGTATTTCCCAATTCTGAAGTTCAATAATTTTTATGATGCGCGATGCGGTGTCATGCCAGAATTGAGGCAAAATCAACACCGTTACATGTCGCTGCACAGCCATATAATTTTAACAACGATGTAAGCACATTATTTTTTTATTTGAAAATAATTAATGCGGTTATATACGTTTTAGTTTTGTATAAAAATTTAAGGAGTTTTTAAATACAATAATAATTTATATTTAATATTAAAAATGATGCTTTTTTATAAAGAGAAATATAACTCACATTATTCAAAAATGTTTCTTTCGTCATAATATGTTTTATGTTTTTTTATATTTTTAATTATAATAATATTTATAATTAATTTTAAAAAATAATCGTCTTTTAATCACGAACAGTAGTTTATTACTGTTTAAACCTTTCTAAACCTGGCTTTCGTTATATTTGCTATAAAAAATAAATTAAAATTTTTTTATTTTTAATTATAATAATTTTTTTATGACGAAAACAATTTAATTTTTTATGACGAAAACAAAAAAAAAATAATTCACAGTAATTTATTACTGTTCAAACCCTTCTACTTAATTATAGTGCTTTTCGTCATATTTGCATTAGAAAGTAATTTTAATTTTTTTTATAATTATGATAGTGAAGAATAAGAGTTATTTAAAAAAATATAATTCGCAATAATTTATTACTGTGCAAAACATTCTATTTAAAAATATTTTTTTTGTCATAATTGACTTTAAAAATAAATTTAAATTTTTTCACATTTTCAAGCATAATAATACTTTTAATTTACATTCAAAAAAAATATATATTTATTACTGTTAAAACCTTTCTATTTAAATATAGTTTCTTTCGTCACATTTCGTCATAGTTTTCATGTAAAAATTTCTAAATTACGTAGCATATAATGTCGTTGAAAAGTTGTTCACATAAATTATTATTAGTTAATTCAGTTATATATAGCTGTGATTTATGCGTTCATTCTAATAAAGAATTGACAAAACTCGATGTTAGAATATCTTAAGTTAAGTTAAGGTATTAAGTCAGTAGATAAAAGTGACTGCGGTTCAAATTTGAAAAGACAGAGTTGAATACTTTTTGTCATACTTTAAAAATAAATTTAATTATAACTCGTTATTATTTATAAAATATTTCAAATAAAATATTTTTATTTAACAATATTTTGTTCTAGATTATTTTGCTGTTGTTGGATAATGGAGCTGATTTAGACCAACCAAACAAATCAGATGAACGTCCTTTCAATCTAATAGCTAGCAATCCCACCAACACCGTACACCTGTTAAATTATGTTACACTTAAGTGTCTAGCAGCCACAGTTCTGAGTAAATATAAGATTCCATATAAGAATGAAATACCAAAAGTTCTAGAAGCTTTTGTTGAACAGCACGAACCCTAAACGTTGTAGAAAAATTTTATGCGAAATTATTGTTCAAAAGATATCAGTATGTAACTAAAAAAAAACTCATATATAAATTATAACTAAAAAAATAGTAAAAAATATAAAAAAAAATATATAAAAAAAAGTGATAATAAAAAGTGCTGTAGTATTGTGTATTCTTATATCTGTAGTATTTTTCTCATTGCAAAGAGAAACGTTAACTACAGTCTATAAAGTAAAATTATTATTATTAAGTTCTTTGATCATGTAAAAGTGTCTATTAATATTGTAGCATATAATTACATGGATAATTATGGAATTTTGCGTAAATAATATACAAAATAATAAAATTTCTAAAAATAATACTTTGATTAAAGTTGAGAAAGATTTCATGATTTCATTATTAGTAACATTTCCATACATATTTTTTTTATATTACTTCACGTAAACATTAAAGAAATCTTTCTTAGTGACTTTTTAATTTCAGACTAATATTTTAATAGTATTTCTATATATTTTGCTTAGACGTTGGCAATGATAACGATTTCTACTCTCAAAGACAGTTCAGTGCCAAATAAGTAATTGTGTTCTCATACATAAAGTTGTCAGAATTTTTTAATAAAATTTAATATAAACTTGCAATAAAATATTTGTGCAATAATATAACATATCGCATATATAAAAATGATTTAAAATATTAATAGACACTTATATTTTAAGACAACAAAAGTAGGAATAAATGCGTATGCAAACAAATTGATATTAATTGCAATACTTAATTAGTTTTAAATCAAGGTTAATGATATAGTCTAAATTAAAATGTGTTAATATTGCTTGTTGTCTTTAGAAAGGAATTACTTAAATTTATACATAAAAATGATCAATTTTGTAACATTGAACTTAAATTATACTAAGCAAAAATTGCTAATAATCATCGAGATAAAATATTTTATTTACAATAAGTCTAACGCCAATCTCATTATACATATATATAATAAATATATAGATCTATGAGTTCTCACATTATTAAAAATATATATATTATATATATATTAAAGATATTGTAATACTACTATAATTATAACTATTAATAATCATTTATATAGACTTACTAACCATATATGTAAATTTAAATATACAATTGCTTATATACAAACTCACTGTCATAAATGCTTATACATAATTATGCTACATATACGCAATTATTCACAAACATTGTATAGATATTTTATTGCAATTCTAAACTGAAATTAAATTTTTTGAATGGAAACTAATGCAAAACTATTTTTATTTACATAAAACAATTTATTTTATTTTGAAAAAAAAATGTATACATTGTGACGTTGACGTTTAAATTATTAGTATGAGTAATTTATTTGGACATGTATGACTTCAGTCGTTTACGATATACACTTAGAAATATATTGCTAATTACACTTAAATAAACTACAGGCAGGAATTTATGTTATAATCACACGATTAGGAGCTAATCCATAAATTGCAAATAGCATTAATGCAGTATATGTCAGAATATGCATATAATAATTACTTGCTAATTTGAAGACTCTACTGTTACCACTATTACGCAGATTAGTGTAACTGTCGACAATATGTATTTTCCAACCCATATTTGCATGGGTAAAGCTATTATAGTATACTGTATCCGGCCATGTTATGTTCGGAGTGATTTCTAGTAAAGCAGGATCTTCACTGCTACAAACAGAAATCAAGGAACGATTGAATTTTTTAAAACTTGGAAAATTATCATCTAAGCGACGATCGTAATTGAGTGGATACTTCGACAAACATAGTGGTCCAGCTGCTGTCGGCTTTGGACGACCTCTACGCGTAAATTCAACACCAGCTAAAACTCGTATCTCACTTTGTTTTGCATCACTAAGTCGATCATAACCACCGTGTGGTTCGTCTGTTATTATCAATGGTTGATAATGTTCTGGAGAATGTGGATTATTGCCACCCTTTACCTGTAAATAATTAAATAATAAATTAAAATTATCAACATAAATTATAAAGTTTTAGTTAATATTTACCTTAAAGAAATATGTTAAGCCACGTTTTAAATATAATTCTGGTATCATATAACCATTTATATACCAAGCTAAACCGCTGGAAACATGACCTGCAAATTATCAGAAACAAATAAATTGTTAGAGATTTAAAACATTAATAAATAATTTAATGTAAATAAGATTTATAATAATATAAGATAATAATAATAATGCTTTAATTTTTTCAGATCAAAAGCCGAAATTAATACATGTTTAAAATAGTGGGAGGGCTTTAATCCTGATGATTTCGCTCAGAAACTCATCAATTTATTACATGAACTGTTTGCTTAATGTAAAGGAGTGAACTTTTTGTATAATACAATTTATTGATTGAAAGAAAACTTAACATATAACACTAGTTTTTAACACTAAGTAAATTTCTCAGTAGTTGACAAAATTATTCCAAATTGCCAGGTTGTGAGACCAGTGAGACCACATAATTCTAATAGGATTTTAATGTTTTTATTCATTTACTCGTATTAAGCGCTACATAGAAATAGAGCTGCTGGAGTAGTCATTGGATTTAATACCTAAAAGCGTGTTGACATGTGTCCACTGATGACATATTTATGTATAAAGATTTTATTTCTTCACATTGAGGGAAGTCTCTGTGATTTTTTATATTCCATTTTGTCCAAATGAGATTTGTTTATTAACATCTTGTTTCTCGATTCCATCGTTCAAAAACTTTGTTTAGAAACGTATATCCGATTACGAGTTACAGGATTTCTTCTGAAAGAAAGTGAGAGATGGTTTCTTTTTTAACTTTCCGCGATAAATTCAGTTTGTCCATTAGATCGTATCTATTCAAAGAGAAGCAAAATCAGTAGATCGAGAATAGCCAATATAGTGCACATATATGAGCGTAGATTAAGACTAGTTTGTATTTATTTATCTTATTCCTTTAAAGTCTCCTACGTACAATAAAAATTATACTGACATCAAGAAAGATTCAGATGAGTTCTAGTGCAAAAGAATTGCTCACAGAAACTTTTATCTCAAAGGTGTTTGGGACACACCTACTCTACTTTTTAGAGCATCGCCCATTTGTCTACCAGTCCTATTGTACACAGAAATTTAAGCTTTTATTGATTTTCTACTAGGTTACATTAAATTGGCGTGGTCTCTTTACCTTGTCCCAAGTTCTTTTCACTAACACTTCCATTTTATATGCTGTATATACAAATTTGATCTCTATACAATTCCACCGACTCTTTATAAATCTTTATTTGTGACATATTTTAATTATAATTTTTACTTAGTAATTCATCCATATTTCTTCTTCTTATGTTGCCAGTTTGGATTACCACAACAACTGTGTAATCTAAAGATCAAATTAAAAACTTTAACACATTTCACATTTTAAGATTCATGTATCATTATCTCTATGTATATATTAAAGATTAATAAATCCGGCCATATTACCAACAAATTACAAAATGGGGATATTAAGTAAGTTATTATACTTTTATAAATTATATATTATATATATTAAAGGATTTCTCTCTATTACTAACCAGTAAGACCTTGATAACCTCGCAAAGCACCGGAAGGTCCCAAATATGCATTAAAAGTACGAATCGTGCTAAAAAAATATAAATTGTTTCTCAATTAACATTTAATATAAATGAAATATAAAATGAACATACGGATCTTGTATTCGCACTTTCTCCCACACTTGTACTGGACTATCCGCCCGTTTTGTAAAACTAAAGCAATCGTTAACCGGTTCAGTTGTATTAAAATCAATTAATATATCACTCTTTGGATAAATGTTATGATAAGCTGGTTCATTATTAGAATCCAACTGTCCAAGAGCCCACACAACGTAATTGCTTTTATCCAGACGTATTTCCTTATCTCCAGAATCAGCTATAAAGCAGTTTAGTTACATTATGATTTAACATATGAAAGAAAATATATAAACTTACATGAAATCAAAGTTCTACGGAAAGTAATTGTATTGATTCCATCTTTACGACTGTAAGTATTTAATTGAAAACTATCCAAGCCACCAACAACGTCATCCCGACATACGCCTTTGTTTTGTCCCAGAACTTGTACGCACTTAAAAGAAAAAATGTCATTAATATAAATTAAATAAATATATATTTTTTTATGTAACTCACAGGTGCTAAAGAGGTTATATTATAATCCACCGAATAACCACGTATATCATCAATATATGCCACAACTACATCAGCGCCTATCATTTGACTAGAGCTCTCCGAACCAGATATACCAAACGACATATAATCATTTTTCTCTACCTGCCCTGATAGTTGTAACGTAATTTGTGGTCCAAAAACTTCCCACGAAACTTGAAGATTTTTATGTAATTGTCGACAATTTGGCAGCGAAAATTCATAAGGTGTTATTTTGACCAAAGAAGGTGGTACATTCAAATTATCTGTTATCAGTACATGACCATAGTTTTCATTGTCAGCTAAATCATAAATGCTTATCCAGTCTATGTCAAATATAGTTTTGTCACCAGGCAATTCAATTGTTATAGTTTCTTTAATATATTTCCGTATAGGATCCAAGCTGTTAATGGATAAAAAAATTATATATATTAAACCATATTAACAAAGTAGTTATGTGATCACTTACTAGCCCATTTCATCTGGTATTTTACTACCACGACTTGATGGTTGTGCGCCTACTCCCGCCCAAAAAAATGTACGCTTACCCAAACCATCATAGTTAAAGTCTTTGATACGTATTGTTTTAGAATCTAATATCTCAATACCACTGCTACTAACATTATGACTACGGCGTGATAATGTACCACCATCTTGAGAACGTGGTGGCTCAAATTCTTCTGGTATATAGACATCACCAAAATTATTTTGAGTATTAAGATCGTAAATTGCAAGCCATTTAATTTCAGTAATTTTTTTACGATCTGGTAAAGTCAGTGTAAAGTCTTTATTATGGTAACGATCAAGTATGTTAGTCCTTAAACAAATAATAATATTAATATTGTGAAAAAGTAATTCAAAATCCAATATATCACTTATACTTACTTGCTATATTCATCTGGTACTATAAAGCCCTGAGGACCTGGACGATTGGATGCTCCAGCCCAAAAGAATGTATCACCTCCATTACCATCATAATTAAAACCAATCAATAAGAATGTATACTCATTGACAGCATAAACATCACCGGATACCTTGAATAATATTTTTTATATTTAATCATAGTGACGCTATAGGTATAATATATTGCATTTTTACTTGATGGTGATATGAGTTTAATTTGCCTAAATATTTGCCTTGATATGGTCCATCCTCATCATCGCCTGCAGCTATAAAATAGAAACATAAATGTTTTATTTATTATTTGAAAATAAAAAACTATGATTTTAAGATTAGAATAAATTAATTTGGTGGTATTATATATTCGATAATAAAATCGTCATCAGAAAAAACGATGGCTGACTTAATAGTTGCAGTCAATGTGAAGAGAAAGAATCCTTCATCTCAGCAAAGGATGTATCCAAAAAAAATGTGTCACCTTACTATGTTGGGTTTTTTATATTGATTATGGAAGACTTTCTGTAATGGACATTGAAAGTTCAAAGCATATTTTATGCGAATGACCTACTCTTGAATAATATATCACTTAGCTGATATTGTTGTACCTCTGAACAAACAATCGAAGAATAAATCCCATATTGTGCTGTAATTAAATACTTAAACTATGCATGAAGTACCGATTGTGATTATACTCGTAGTGCATATTAGTCCCTAATAACAATATTAATATTTCATGAGCTATAGTTTCTTATTCTATTATATAACAGGAGTATATATATGACACATCTACATTGATGTTGTGATTAGTGTCAACAGTTTGGGAAGAAAGTGAGACCTTAAAGCGGGAATTTGTCTGCCCCAAATGCATTAACGAAAGAACTATTTAATGGATCTTCATATATCTCAGAATGGTTACAGGCTCCTCGGGGAGATATGCAGATCTGAGGTCAATTATTGCTTAGTCTAATGAAGTGATAAACAATAATCCAGTCAAGGCGCAAAGAGGGGTTTTGAAGAAACCTCGCAGTTAATAGAGAGTAAAAGTGCTCAGGGGCACTAACTCAACTAGCCGCAACATAATAATATATCGATAGAAAAAATTAGACTAAATTGGATTCAAAAGAATATCTTGATGAATACGGATTTAGAGAAATACTGTAATTCTATTGGGGGAGCACCATAAGTCTCTAGGTTGATATGTAAAAAACTCAAACTTAGAAATAATAGTATTAACAGAGTTTTTCTAAGATTTTAAAAACTCTTTTCAGTAATTATGTATTCATTATATTAGATTTTGGGCAACCAATTTTGAAACAAAATAAAAGTATTTAATAATAATATATAATAATAATTTTAATTTTGTATTGTATATTCTTATGAGTTTGAAGATATTCTTAACCACTCATATCACGTTTAGTGCGATCAGGACTTCATCGATCGTATCTATGTATCTAAGATAAATTTAGAACTCATCTAATATTGTAACAAGATAATACTAGCAAGACACATTTCTGAATTATTCTGAATTTTTTATTATATATTAGTATATTTATTATGATATATTTAGTATGATAAGATCTTCCTCGGTAGTATCTATATATCTAAGGTACTACGTAGTACGTACACTGTTTGTGAAGGCTATGTCTGACTGTTATTTTTTATTAAAATTTTAAACAGACTATATGCTACGGTTTTAACAAATTTGATACCTTTTTTGACTCAAAAATTCGTATAGAAAACAGCTACATATCCTTACTAGTCAAAGTTTTAGGTAAATATTGGGATTTAGAATTATATCGTTTATATCTATGTCATAATTTTCATTGTATGTCATATTTAAATCATTGTATATTTATCGTATTCTACACCAAATCGAATAATGTTGAATTGACAATAATGCAGTTGAAATCTTTTGGTATCTCATAGAGATATTGTGATTTCTTTTAAATATTGGAGTTCCGTTGGTTATATACTTTTTAAAAGCTAATCATTTACTATCTGTATAAAATAACAACTCAAAAAATATTTTGTAATAAATTAAGTTTAATATGTAGGTTTTTGTAAAGAAAGATTTTTTTAGGAAAAATTTTTGAGACTCTGTATCTCATATAATTTATCCTCTTTTTCTAATTCTACAACTATTCTTGTCATTTTTTGGACCAAGAAAAAAAGTGTAATAGACTCGTTTGTTTATATAAAAGCAATAATCTCCTTAACATAAGTGTGTACTTTTATTGCAAGGTATGTTGATAGAGACTGGTCTTAGCAGTACTTATAGTGCTAGTTATATAGCTCATATATGCTGAGTTTAAAAGTATCAAAAAAGGCACTGGATTGAAATTTGTCAAATTGAAACAACTATGCAAAACTTCTACGAGATCGTATTTTTACTCTAATGTAGATAACAACTGGTATCCGATTAATCTATTGTTTTTTAGAAAAAAGGTAACTACATTAAACAGTAAATACTCTTAGGACACCCCGCTTGGTAGAATATAATAGTTCATACGTATTATTACATTTTCTCTAGATATATAACTTAATTACTTTGATAAATTATATCGATAATTTAAAATTTCATTTTCTTATTTTTTTTCTTTTTTTAGTGAATTTAGCTAGCACTTTAGTTGTAATGTGAACACTTAATATATTTAAGCACCCACTTACGGATGAGTAAATTGAGGGAATTTACTTCATAATTGACTTATATCATTGTAAAATAGAAATATCTACAAGTTAAGAAGTTTACTTTGTAAATGCTCTTGGGGACTTTTTCACTTTATCTGGAAATGAATAAAGTCTATGTAAGAAAGTATATATAAAAAGTGCTAGATTTTGATATTATTAAAGAAAATAATTTTACTTTATGCCAGTTTAACTGGAAAATGATTATAAAGGGACATATTAAGCTATAAAAATATATTTTCTGCATTATGTTTGTCTAAAATATATCTCAAAATGTTAAAAATAATAAACATATTTACACATAGTAACAAAATATATATGTTTTATTTAATAATCATGTTATCTTCTCATAAAAAAAAGTGCATGTGTATATAAATTTATAGTATCAAAAAATTGTATCCGAAGTAAAGAACTTGTTTTTAAATAAAAAATTTTAAAAAAATAATTAATTAATTTGAATTGTAAAAATTAAAAACAAAAACAATAAAACGAAATAAATATTTGTGAATTTTGCAATCAGATCAAAGCCAGTGAGTAAAAAATTACAAAATCTGCAACTTCGATAAAACGAGTTTGTTGTTTTTGTAGCAATTGAAGTCTTTTGTTTTACACAAGAATTTTTTGTTAAAGTCATTGCTTTGTTATGTAGAAAATAAATTTAAAATAAAATATTTTCCTAAGAATTATTTATATGATTAAAAATAAAAGTATCTTCAATACGTCTTAAAAAATTTCAAAATAGATTCCAAGAACAAATGTCTTTATAATATCATAATTTATAAAAATATTTTTATAATTATGATAGTCGCAAATATAAAACATAGAGTATAGAAAATATTGAAACACACTTAGATCTTTTGAGATACTTTCAATAGATTATATATTACGTGGCTCAGAATTAGCATTCCTCTTTCAGAGTCATATGGCAAGCAGAACCATCACCCAACTACCATATGATCAGTTTAGTGTTTGTCATTTTACAGTATGTGTCGTTTAACAACCACTGAATTTGTTGAAGTAGTGACGAATTTTTACAGTTTTTGATGAGAATTGGTGAAATAACAACAAATAAAATATTCATATCTGATATATTGAAAATCCATAAGTAACGGTCTTAAGTTCATTGCATCCAGGAAAATACATTTTATGGTGTAGTAATTGTTCTAAAGATGAAAAGTTTTTTCTTAAACCAATGAAGATTTGACACAAATAGTTAATTCTGAT